GCTAGAATGGTTGCTTATTTCTGGTACCTATTTCCAGGGTCTGCACAGATTTGGAAAAGGTCCTATTCTATTGTCTACCAGTCAATGGTTAGGTCTAAGTTGTAAATAGGCATGTACGATCATAAGCATTTCTTTGAAAGCATCTAAAAGCATGTTGGAGCCATGAGCACGTTAAATGATTTGACTTTTTGTGAATCAAGGCCAGAAAACTGTTTCAGAACAGTGCAGATATTTGATTATTTTCGGTACAAAGGTCAAAATTATAAAATATAATGAGTGTCATCACTGCTTGTGCTCATTTAAAGTGATCAGCAGAAACTCAATGCGCTACGCTTCTTGAAAAATATGGATGCTGAGAATAGTCCTGACTTGTTCCATCTTACTGCACATGCATTCAGCTAGTAATTTGTGAGGGAGAATTAATTTCGATGTAACGGACGATACTATCAATGTAGACCCAGATTGCAAAAAATGCAATCAATGGTCGACGTGTCTTAGGACAGGGGTAGATCATGTACGGCGTTGCAGTGACATGGGAATAATTTCAGCACATACTCTTTAAATCTAAGAGCTTATAGGTTGGCACATAGGCGCCACCAACTCCATTAGTAAGAGAGCAAATGTTTCAAAGCATTATGATGTCACAAAGGTAGTTTCCGGTAAACAATATTCCAAAGACATTTCCTCACACGCCGATGATTAGGAAAATTCAGTGCAATTTGGCCCAGCCAGAGTTTCACACACGAGTGAGAATATCCGAGCACAGATCGTCTTGTAGGTGTCCAGTGCAGCCGACGATTTTTTGCCAGACTGGACGCAGAAATTTTGGGTTATAATAGCATCAGTTGCCTATGCATCACTTTCTATCGCTGATCTGTGTGCATTCCTTTACTAAATCCACTAGCGGATCAATTAAAGCAATCGACTTTCCATCAAAATGGCAGCATATTAACCATAAGGAAAACTACTGTAGGGTATAATATAATGTACTACATAGTAAAAGGAAAACTAACATGTATGAACTTCTAATTTCCGTTTGCTTATACGCATGACGAATACAAATTTGTCATGAAACACAATAATTGTTTAAAAAACAGACCCAATCTAGCCAATGACACGTAAAACTTACCCCTGTGAGCATGATTAGACTGCAAGGTCTGCCGGACGCAGGGATGACAAGTCAATACCAGCACAACCAACACCAGAGAAAGACCCACACAAATGGCGGACACCCCGACATCCCAAACAAATGCTGTGATGCCGGAGGCGAACGAAGGTTACACAAGTGCGTTTTTTCAAAACGTCGCTTGTAAGCCCCAAATGTCGTGCAATATGACGAACAAACCGGAATTTGTCAGCACTATTGCTCACGTTGTTTAGATTAGTTACCTGGAAACGCATGCACGAAAAAATATATGCGTTTCGTTGCCGGCAATGTGTGGGTTTTCAAGCGGAACCTGTTCAAGTGGAAAACATTGGGCAAGCGCAAACGATTCAGAACGCTTAAAAGAATCTGAAGATAAATGAAGTGAATGAATCAAAAGATGACATGCTCAGTGGCATTACCGTAGGCCTGTTGCAAAATCGTCCGGAAAGGCAGCCTGCCACTGTTTACAACAATCCAGAGAGGCAGTCTGTAAATCTTTCCACCACAATCGTGATGGACAATCAATCATCCCTCAATCTGTTCCCCTCGTATTATCTGCGAGCACGCAGATGATCCCACACTTCCCTCGGGTCATGCCCAAGGCTCTTTAAAACTTATGCATGCTTCAGGAATGTTTTTGGAAGTTCTCCTGAGCTAACACCTACCATGAGGATGCCACCTACCAAGAGGTGTTGTCGCCAGTGTCAGAAACTCAAACCAAGGAAGAACAGCGCAGATGTGTGCCGAGCGTTTTGGGAGGCGGGGTATCACCAGACAATGATAGAGCAAGATTGATTGAGATTGAGACTGAGAGAGATTGAGATATCACGCAGATTGTGCGTGGCTTTCCAGGGCTTGCCGATATTGCATGGGACGCCGCTTCTTACGCACTTCCGAACGAGCGGTACTTGTTATGATTACGGCCTCAGTAACTCACGACGCGAACTTTCAAAGCATCTGCTCCGTTTACGCACTACCCACGCAACGCAAAAATGGCGGCCTAAAGCAGGACGACGCAGTTTTAGCGTGGGAAAGTTGTCATGGAGCCACGGGTTGACTTGGGATAGCGTGGGTAATAGATTGAGTGAACATGGTTAATGGCGAAATGGTTAATCGTTAATGGTTAATCGTTTCTTACTGTCATCCACACGTTGTTTGGACAGATACTCTTCCGAACGGAGAGAACCAAATACGTATCCGCAGTCATGGAGTAAAGAGGCAGTGAAATGGTTTCCCTGAAAGGAACAAGCGCCTCACTCATTTAAATCGCATGTGTCTGAGGAATATCTTGCCCCCAAAAAAGAGCGATCATAAGAACTGAATTACCGTGACTGAGCAGTAAACTGTGATGAAAATCCATCGCGGGCGAATACATAATGAATTACCGCTTCAGCGATGAGTTAATTTACGGGCATAAGGGTAAATCTACTTTTAGTGAGCATTACCATATTAGGGTTCACTTCTCCCTTCAAAAATGTATAATGGCCATGGGCTGCAGATACGTATGCTCCAACCACCCTCTAATCCCGCGTAGGACAACGCCATTGAATGTGTTTGACCAGGATAGGAGAAATCTTCGAGCAGGGTTTCGGAGTCCTAGCAGCACCGCACCGATATTTGTGACAATGTTATTCTATACTGAGGTGAGGGAGCTTCATCTACACGAAAGTTGTTAGAATAGGGGGAACTATATCACCTCTTATCCGACGATAGGGAAACTCATCCCTCCCGTTCCCCATCCCCCGCTGGCGCCGCCGCCATGTATCTCAAGCAACAGGGATTTTTTAGTATCGACGATCACCTGCTTATGATGCGGAGGAACACTGTTCACTCTTCGCTCGGACAATGCTGCAATTGCAGCACATATGAAATGGCTAGCGCAAGGTTCTGCGAGCGCTGCCCTGCAGATCCTCCAGACGGCCATCCCTGTTGAGGGGAATGTTCCACACTTGACGATATTGAAGCAGGCATCATATATGATGAAATAAGTTCGCTTATAACTATTGATTCAGTTTTAGACGGAAAAGACTGCTAACGGCAACGTTTTTCTCTGTGTAGTAAGTATGCTCCGTAAATACGTCACTGTTTTACTGCGTCATGGAACGTTTGTACGTTACGCTGCTGCCAAACTGTCCTTGCGAACTTCCCATCCTACCACTCACTTACGGTACTTCAGTCTGTCGATAGGTGGCCGTAGTGGTGTTGGAGGTGTTTGATTAACTACAGATCGTTCTGTGCTCGTGATATGGCCTTTTCTCGTGGTGCCTTGCATATTTATCCGTGAGTGTAAGGCATGTTCTTGCCTTCTCAGCTATGGTCCTGGTCCACATTTGAGAATGAAATTTGGAAAATGAGCATGCATTGGAATTTTGTGTCTTCCTTACCATCTGTTTTATGTAATGTGTCAAAATTTGATTCACAAGGCTTGTGGAGGGACGGCCCAGGGATTCGCTTTTGGGGGCGACCTTCAGTGAAATTTTGCGATCATGCTAAGATGGAGATTTCTCCAGAAATGTACGTCCTGCCTTGCGCTTACGGAAGTAATGAGGATTCCAGTATATAACACAGTTGCAAGATGAGTTTAGTTAATGCATGAGAGCAAAATTAGCATGACGGTGGCCGTTCCAGGGGTCAAAAGAAGATCTTTAGTAAGCGCAGAATGTATCGTGATCGATAATGTAGCATTTTCCAGATATGATCGTATATTCATAAACTTTGCCATCACGTCATAAAACAGTGATGAACGGCAGACAACATGAGAAAAAACATGAACGTACAATTCAAACGACCTGGCATACATTGGACGTTCTAACCTCGAAAGGGTATCAAGGTCGCGGCTCAGTCTAGGGCACATATTGACATAAAAAGGGACTAAGCCATGTGCTCTTTACATACTGCCAACATATGTATATAGACAGTGATCACCCCCCCCCCCCCCTCCCTCCGAGCTTAGACTCTATCCCGCACCAACTTGTGAAAAAGTGGGCCCAATGAGGGGACAACTCGTTTGCCAATTTATTGTAGGGGATGTCTTGCCATTTTCACTGCCGAGCACCACACCTCCATTTTTTTTGCGAAACTCCTTCCCTTCATGTGGGGGACGCGTTTCAGTATATGGAAGCAAAACTTCTCAACTCAGACCGACCCCCAATGAAGTACGTTGGCAACACAATCGCTCCATGGCCGACTTGCTCGCAGCGTCTGGTCAGGTTTTCGCAGACCTGTAGGTCGAGTTCTATCTTACCAATTTTGATGTGCCCGTCATAAGAAAATAGTGTCATTGTCTTGCACCGATCCAATAAACATTTTTTGTCTAGTGAAGCCTAACTCCTACTGTGTGATGGGCAACGGTTTTCATGTATGTGTGTATGTATGTATGTTTTCACGTATTTCATGTATGCATTTTTTTCATGTACTTCCTGCATGTTTGATGTATTTGCATGTATATCATGCATGTTAGTCACGGTAAACAGCTGATTTTCTGACTTCCATGGCAAGCTACCTAGTTTGCGGTGCAGTCATGGACGCGCGGGGTCCATGATTTAAAGATCGGGCCTTCGAGACCATGGCGATCCATAACTTTCTTATCATGTTCATGTAGGATATTCTTAATTATTTCCTGACAGTCTATACTTGCTATCAATGTGATGCAATGTTCATTTACTTGACGGCTTCTTGCAATGTCCCTGCATATCACATCTACTAAAACTAGACAGCCGTTCGCTATTGCAGCATGTGCGAGACGCTCCCTTCAGTTACATGATGCGCAATACTGATTGGAAGCTTAAGTTCTGACACACGAAGGTATATATAGTAGATTTCTAGTACCATACTGAAATGCGTGTATTAGACTCAGCTTTACCAGGCATGTATTACCCTCCTTCACACAATATTTGCACAAGGGACATTAAAGGTGACAACGGTGCATCCAGGTTTTGCAAACGGGTATTTCAAGGAATGTACCCTCATAGCCACCTCAGCGTGACGGTGCTACCAATGGATAACATAGAACCATGTTCGCACACATAAAGCTGGAGGAAGGCCAAACAGCCAACTTTCCGTAGAACCGTCTGCAGGCATGAAAGTAACGTAGCCCCATATCTCTGCCACATGAAGACTTTTACTAAAATGCTGCATTTCATTTATTTTTTCTTTTGTACAGCAAACGAAACAAACGATATCGTAAGAAGCTACACCGGAGACAAATCCAGGAACGACAACACGCGGTTGAGATAGCAGTATTCGTGACCACCAAGAGCGGGCCGTCAGCTGACCCCAGCAATCCGCGACCCTTCAATCAAGCGCCCTTAACCCTTCCTTTGGTAAATGGGATGCGTCTACGGTACACACCCATGCATGTCACGTAGGCGCCATACGTCATTTACATTGGGGAGAGGCTTTTGACAGCCATGCATGCCTACTACCCGCTTAGCCTTCCAATTCACAACCCAAATATACACCCTGACTGTGCCCATGCCAAAACTTTGGTTTCCACAGGTGAAGAGAAAGTAGGTCCGCAGGTCCGTTACCGTTACCAGATGAGAAGGCCGCCTTTGTGGTAACAAAGAAGAGTACCACTCATTTGCTTTACATATGCCCAACCACAAATATGTTTGGATGATTTTTGTTCTCAATCCGCTGTGCATCTTCTAGATGCGCTTGAGAATTTACAGTTTTGAAAGTTCAACGCGCTTTAATAATTTTGTTCATCTATCTGCGCTGGTCGCGCTGAAGTTGGCTGCCAAACGTGATGAGCGCGTTGGATCAAATTGCATTCATTTTGCATGTCTTGCTATCCTGTTACCTACTATCAGAAATTTTCCAGATTTCTGTTTTAATATGCATTGCGTCACAAGAAATCAAATGCCGTTAAGATTTTTCCTCAAAATATGGCGTATTAGCTGACGATATCTCAAGTGGAGCCAAATCCGCCCCCTCGCCCCGAATAGGAAAAGCTCGGGGGGAGCTCACCCGAAAGAGAGCTAAGGACTGCACAGCAGACATCAAAGGCACCGTGTATCCCAGCAGTCCGTCGCGCCTTGCGCGAAGCTTGACTGGAGGGCAACCGCGGCAGCCAACAACGAGCACCGCCGAGCATGGACCCGCGTCCACACTTCGACCAGGCCACCTCGGTGCCGCCGCCACTCAGTTGGTCATGACGAAGGCGCCTCAGTTGACTGCCGACATGATGCTGACGATGTCGGCATAGTAGGCCTGCAGCTCGGTGTAGATGCCGGGCCGGTTGGGGGCGCCGCACTGGACGCCGCCGGTCGCCACGACGCCCACCACCTGCCAGGCCCCGTCGTCCCCGGCCTGACACACCAGCCCGCCGCCCGAGTCGCCCTGGCACGTGTCAACGCCGCCTTCCAGGAAGCCGGCACATATCATCTTGTCCGGCACGAACGCGTCGCCGTACACGTCTGCCCTGGCGCACACGCGGTCATCAACGACGGGCACGAGGGCCCCGCGCAGCCGGAAGGGGGTGACGTCAGCCAGAGGCAGGTACTTCCCCCAGCCGGAGATGAGGCAGCGCGAGCCGGGCGGTGGCAGCGGGTCCGTCGGCCGGATCAGACAGGCCGGACGCACCTACCGACACACACACACACAGAGGTACACATTCACAGCATACGGCAAGGTAGCCCAATCCATCCCACACACACGTGCGCGCGCGCGCACACACACGGTAGGGTTCCGCCAGCTGAGAGAACGGCACTGTCAGCTCTGCGGGAGGCAAGCAACCGGCAAGCGATTGCCACAAGTCGCGTTGAGGTCTAAAAAAGCCTTTTAGACACTCACGGTGTTCGTAGGCGGGACTACATTCTTTCATGCAAGAACAGCATATAATCATCCTGTTAATCGGTAGAAGGCACTGACGATCAAACTGCTGGCGCTGTCTTCTTGCATACATAATTTTGTTTGGAATCTTCACGCAATGCCTGACATTATTCATTCAATATTTTGAGGGGTGATATTATTCTTTATAAACTCTAGATGTACATACTAGACACAAATAACCGAAGACAATAAGATATGAATACCCTGTCACCACACTTTCTATCCCTGTTTTCATCACCCTGCGTCGAGCTTTTACAACTTGGTGTTCAACCAGTGGCGAAGGTAAGGCGAGCACTGGGAGCATGTGCCACCGCCCATAGGTTCATTCAGGTTCCCGACCCGATACCTACGATTAAGGACCCCGAGGGTCCGAAAGGCTGGTTGGAGGCCGTATTCAGAGGCCCCGACCCTGCTGGCCGGGACCTCCAATGCCAGCCAGAGTATCGTTTGCGACGGTTGGGGGTCCCTGAGTCGAAAAGGGCTTATATGCTGGTCAGACACCACCGGCACCCCACATTTTTGTGCTTGGGGGCTTGTTTTTCGAGCGGGGACAAAGCCGGGGCCAGCGATTAGCATTGGTCGGAGTCCCAGCGTCTGGCACGGGCCCACTGTGCCTAATAGGTTGCCCTGTGTTGGAAAAGGGTCCCGAGTCGTCCAGCGGCAGTGTTCGAGGAGGACCGAGGAGAGCCTGGAGGGCTCACAGAAACCAAGGACCAGGAGCCCGATTGGAGGACCCAAGGGAACGAAGGGCTGGCTTTAGGTCACATAAGGGATACCCGCCCGTAAGACCGGGATAAGAAATATCAGTCACAGAACCTCTTGCACCGATTGGGGATGTCCTCAGGTAATGCGGCCGTCTATGTCAGCCAGAAACCACCATAACAGAACAGTTGGCTTTATGTCGGTCTGAACCCTGGGGCCCTTTCCCAAGCAGGAGCAAGTCTGGGGCCCATGACGTACATTGGTATGTGTCCCTGAAACAATGATCGGGCCGCTGTGTCGGTCGGGGGCTCACACTGCCTAACAGAAGGCATGCGTCAGCAAGTGGTCCCGAGTTTCCTTGATCTTTGTTTGAGGAGGCCCGAAGATGGACCGGTAAGTCCCTGTGAACCAAAGATCAAGGACCCGCCTGGAAGGCTATAGGGATCAAAGGGCCCCAAGGACCGGTCCGTAGATCACAACAGGGACTGTCTCCCTCCCCGCCGGACGTCCGGTCTGGAAAAATGTGGGGCCCCTGTGTCGTTTAGGAGCCCATAGTGTTAAACCGTGTACCATGTCAACAAGGGGTCCCGAGTCGGCCTGGGGAATATTTGCTGAATGGGGAAGGGATATAGCCCAAAATGACAGATGACTTCTTGCGTTAATCGGGGATATCTGACAATTAAATGAAATATGAGAACTGATGATAACAGTTCACATTCAGACACTGGAAGAGCCCTGTGTCAGTCAGGGCCATAAGTACCGAACGGCGGGCCCTCCAACCCAATGCGAGCGATGGGCCCGTTAAGCCGAAGTGGAGTCTATGTGCCAATTATTGGAACACCGCAGGTGTTCCAATAATTGAGATCTTTTCGCGTCAATGAACGGTCCTGCATCTATCTGGGGTCAAGTGCGCGGGTCATAAGGCCTCCCGCGTCAGGGCGTTAGACAGGGGGACCAGTGTGATATGATGTATCCTTCCTAGGGCCTTCGGATCAACCAGGGGACCCCTGCCACCGTATCTCCCGAATGACAGACAGAGGGCACCCACCGCTGGGACGGAACGGCCTTTCACCCCTTGACCGTGAACGATTATGCGTCCAACAATGTCCTCCTCAAGGGGCCCCTTACCCGGAACAAGCAAGGAATCCCATTAGTGTTGAAAACAGTGGGCCGAAATGAGTTAAAAAGGGGAAAGGTCAACCCACGTTTTCTCTAGAGCACCGATTCTTTTGCAGAATGGCCTAACGCACCAAATTACATCGGAAAGTTTTGAGCCCGTGGGCTTGCAATCTCGGGAGCACGAACAGCGACGCCCGCTGTCGCAGTTTTCGTAAAGCGGAGCGGCGTTTGCCATTGTAAGTACCACCAGGTGACGGACACTGCGCGCGAGATCAACCGTCGTGAAATGTTGCCTCCGAAAGCCCTCCGAAGTAAGTCCGTGTTGTTCAAAGATTTGACTGGTGCACATTTTTGTATTCTGCGGTTGTAATCTAGACGGATTAACAGTGACAACAATACAACAAATAGGGATTTTAATTTTAGTCCCCCAGTTCCACCGCCAGATTTTCGTCCCCCGGTTGCAAACGATTAGTGTTAGCCGTTGAGACGACGCCGAGCAGTCTACGGAGATTGCAACGCCGGGCGTCGTGGTCAATTGTATCTATCACTGATCGATTCGGACTGAGTGCTGAACTTTTCAAGCCAAGCATGATGTAGGCATGCTAGGACAAATTTTGACCCATTTCGACCCACACTCTATGTCCACGGTTTCCTCAATATCTCTGTAGAACCCAGACCAAAGTTCCTGCAAAGCGTCCCAGTTCCACCGGTTTAAAGGGACTCCAATGACCCATTGCAAAATGAAGAGCGCAGGTAACAGCCTTCAGGCAGTCGCTTAACGCCTGTTTTCTTCAGTTTAATGATGTTTGAATTTCAAGATAGCTTACGGCTTCTATTCCAGTCACAGGAGTTAAAATGATAATAAAGCACGAAAAACCGTGACCCTCATCAACAATTGTGCCAGATCTCGCGATTTTTTTGGGGGGGAAGGGGCTTTCGCCATCAGGAGTTCCTTCTCAACCCTGTGCCCCACCCTCTTGCTAAAGCCCTGGCTGCGCTCTTGTGCTCAACATTCCAAAGGCAGGGTTCATACATGAGGCGAAACGGTGCATCGGCTCATTGGGCCTCAGTTCTCACCTGTCTGGTGAAGCGTATGGCCTGTTCATTGGAGAGATCCAGCACCAAGATAGCCAAATCTCCCACCTTCGTCCTGTTGGTGCGGTAGTCCGGCAAGATAACCGCGTTTCTTAACGCAAACGCCCGCTCCGATTCATCGCGCGTCCTCAGATCGTACTGACCCAGCACTACCTGATGGAGGGATGGCTCGTTAGGTCTCGGGGTAAGCACGCAGGCCCGTTCTGACCTGCGGGTGGGAAAGGCCGTCGTATTATGGCATCGACAAGCACGCTGGTCGACTGCTATATGATGAAGAGACAGAGTGTTGTATAAGGGTAATCATGCTGGCCAAAGACTCGACGTTGGTCGCGCTGTTCCGCACACCCACCCCACCCACCTAAAGCACCACTGACAGACCGACTCACAGAAGAGCGAACGGTTCCCGCCGCGTTTGTTGGATATCTCACCTCGTACCTGCCATATCCTTCGGTGATGCAGTGAGCCGCAGTCAGCACGAAGCGGTCGCTGATCATGACACCCCCGCAGTGCGGAACATACGCTTGTTGTTTGGGGTCGAACACCTTGATCTGCGCCTGCCACGGGAACTCGCCATACACGGCCTGATGTCCACCGACGACGCGATCGACGGTCACCACGCTGGTCGGCTCGACGCTCCGCTGGCCGCAGGTGGGGAACAGCGGCAGCAGGTCCCGCGCCGGGTCCGACTCAGATCGCGTCAGCATCACCTTGTTCCGCAGCTCGGTCGTCGTCGCAGTGCTCTTGTAGAGGGTGAAGTAAACGTTGGGCACTGAGAGCAGGCCGCACACCGTACAGCCAATCAGACATTGACTGGTGTAGGTGCGACGGCCGAAAGCCGCCTGTTGGGTCTGCTGAAACAGCGCGCAGCGTGGCCGTCACTTCATGCTGCCAGACTCAGATCTGTTCGAGGTCCACGACCGTGCACAGGGTGGTCGTCACTTCATGCTGCCAGACTCAGATCTGTTCGAGGTCCACGACCGTGCACAGGGCGGTCGTCACATGGCCCAGCCCAGCTTCCTCAGCTCACCTGGCTCATGCCACAAGGCCCAGATTCATTCCAAGTCCATGGCTCAGATCCGCATTGCGCCAGTAAGGCATACATCAGCCTCCGAGTGGATAGTTTTCAATGTTACTTTTACAGGGTTACCTCAGAATTAAGGATCTTTAGTAGCCCGTATTCGAAGCAGCTTCGGGTGAGTAAACAGGGCCGGGATCACTTGCCGCACGCTTGATTGAGTCTTGACATCGCACTGACAGTTTTCAAAGGCACGTGCCATCTAGGCCTACACGTCAGCAAATCTACCAACCTAACGCTCATGCTCACGTGCACGCGCATGTACACGTACAGCCACAAGCACACGCGCTCGCACAAGCGTAGGCGCACACGAACATGCACACACATCAGCATTATGCATCTCGTCCCTGAGAAACGCGGTGACGCGAGGCGCAATAGCCACTACCAACCGGCTGTCACGCATCTCGAGCCGGCACCAGCCGACTGTCACGCATCTCAAGCTGACACCAGCCGACTGTCACGCACCCCAAGCTGACGCCAGCCGACTGTCACGCATACGCATCCCAAGCTGACATCAGCCGACTGTCACGCATACCAGGCCACCACCAGTCAACTGTCATACATACCAGGTCACCAGCAGTCAACGTAACAAACCACCGCCAGTCGACTGTCATGCATCTCAGGCCACCACCAACCAACTGTCACGCATACCAGGCCAACATCAGCCAACCGTCGCGCATCACAGGCCACCACCAGCCAACTGTCAGACATCTCAGGCCACCACCAGCCGACTGTCACGCATCACAGGCCACTCACCGTCACGCCGCCCGTCGCGCCGACAGTTGTGTTGGAGTAGCTGAAGACTAGGCAAGTGCTGGGGTGGAAGAAGCAGTAGGCGGCGCACGTCTCCAAACTGACCCCGTAGATGACCAGCTCGAAGTTGCTGATGCTCATGCCGCCGGTGACAGTGTAAGACGCGACGATGTCGGCACAATGCACCTCGTCCGAGCCGTCTGCACAGTCACGGCGTTGGTCGCATAACAGGCCGAAAAGCTGGCACTGCAGGTCAGGACAGCCAGGCATACCCAGCTGTAGGGGGTTACACTCCTCTTCGCCGCAGCGCAGGCAGGTCGCCTGCCGCGTGGGACAGTGGAACATGTCGCCGCAGCAGTTCCCCGATAGAAAGTCGTCTGGATCGATGGCCCACACGGGATCGAAGACATTGGCGACATGTTTCCGGCGTTGCAGGGTGGGCGTCTGCGGACCACACTGCTGAGCCGCGGACGGTGCTGCCGACACAGTGCCGGCGGCTGAGGCCTTCGGTCGTGAGTCGGCCTGGTTCAGCCGGCACCACGCGCGTCCCGGTACCAAACATGGACAGAAGCGAGCCTGTGCTCTGGAACAGTGTTAGCGCGGCCGGTTTCGCCAATGACGAACAGGCATGTCAACGTTGAACCTACTGTCACCAAAGTCGCACGCATTTGGTGCAACATTGCTGGAATATCATTATGATATGCAGTTTGCACTTTTCCGGTGCTGTGTTAAAAGCAAAAACATCCCCAAAACCCTTCGGACCACTTTGCCCGTCCTTCCCTGGGTGGTTTATTCGGCGGTTAAAGATATTCCAGCAAGACATTCAAATCGTGGACAAATTGTCGCATATACTGCTTCCAATGTTTATGTCGCGCAAGCTTTAGAGAAGTGCTTAGTGCTATTGTGCAGATACAATTTCGACAAACCATCGTCATTGTCATCGCCGGCTACCTCAGAATGTCACTGGAATCCTACATCTACGTAAAAAAGACCACCATCCGACGAAAACTAGAATCCAAGTGGATAGCTGTCTAACTCAGCGAAAATAAAAAATGTTTTCCGTAAAGACTGCAGAAGGAAGTGAACCAGCAACCGAACACCCTTGCAGCAGACAGGTACCCGCCAAAGCTGGTTACCAAGCTGTTCCGATAGGATCACAGTCGGGCCGCTTAGTGTGGCTCCACGCGGGAAAGTATGTTACTTCTTGTTAACTTATTACAAATGAGCCGGCCAGCGCACATAAGCACAAATCGAAAAGCAAGCTACGTTACAAAATAAGACCAGGACGTCTGATAGTTTGACAACGGAGCAGCGCACTCCTCGTCATGCGATTGCTGCGGGTCGCACGTCGAAGGGGTAGGGCAGCTGTCCTACACTAGGATCGCCAAATGCCACAATGCGCTGAAAAAGCGGCCATCTTGACAAGTGGGCCGTCGCAGAGCACGGGTGCGTTTGGTCGACATGACCCCCACCCAGGTCGAGGTCATGGGTGGCAACGAGAAGCTTTCGCAGTTGGGGCTCGTTGATTCGCAAGCCAGACCTTGATGAGTCGATGGGAGGGGGGCTGTTTGGGCAGGCCTCGAAATGCTCTTTGAGAGGCCACTGTTTCCCGACCTGCAAGGGCATCCGTCGGTCTGTAGAGGGGACCCTCGACGGGATTCGGTCACGAATGGACTGCCGGCTAACGTAGTTGTACTTGACGAAAACGAGGAGCCAGATGAAAACAAGGTCAACATGAAATGCATACTGAGGTCCTCGACTCTGCTCCCTGAAACCACACACTGCACAGACGTCCCCCATCCGGGGCGCAACCAAGGGGGAATCGTGGGTCTAGTCCCTCCCCCCCCCCCCAGATTCCCGCGCAGTTTTTCACCGCAACACTACTGAGCATAGTTCCAGAATATGTTGATGAATGTCCGACTACGCAAATAAACTATTTTCGTTTCAAATTTCACATTCATTTCCATGGGAAGGGACATGAGACCCCAATAGCCGTAATACCGAGAGAATATGTATGGTACGCAGCAAAACAATTTTGAACGGATCCAGGGCAACCCAACATTGATGGCTCGTTGATATGCTGGGCAATGTATCTTTGAACGTGTGTGGGGTCTGTTAATTGCTTCGCACTGCGTAGGTACTGTTAACAAGCGCTCGGGCGGAGGGTTACATTGACCACCAAAGGTTTTTCCGGGATGGTTTTCGAAAGGCGCGGTGTAGCCGCGCCAAATTTTGCATAGCTATAGCCCACTGAATAGCGGATCGTTTAATATAAAAAATCAGATGTGCCTTGTAAGGTCGTCTGCCTATGCCAAGTCAAAGTCAGGCCACGGTTTCAGCAAAGTCAATTTTTGGAGAGAATCGCCCAATCTAACGCAACAGCTAAGTGTTAGACGAAGCCATGCATCTCTGAGATACTTTCTTAGGGAACACAATAACTGAATGAATAAATTAAATTGATCCAGGGTCAGGTATGAAGGCCAAACCACGGTCAAAACCAACCTGCTTTATTACTCTAGGGCTTGCTGCATGGGGTAGTTTCTGG